ACCGGAGAGAGCAGCTTAGGTCGTTCGCGTGGTTGACCTCCAAATTTTGTGCGGGCGTCACTATCCACTTGTTGTGGCTAATAACTTAGCAATCTCAGGGTTTGGTGTCAATTTCCAGTGGTAGTTAACTTTTGGGACCGGTGCCTCCTCATGCATGCCGGTGAAACATGGAGCATTTGCTAGCTCACCAGCGTGTACCACCCGTAGGCTGCTTGGTGTTGAGAGCAGATTTAAATTGAGTCTGCACATAAGGTCTCGGCCTAGTAGATTAACCGGGCACAATGGGGAATATAGAAAAGAATGTTTAAGCTGGTTGCCCTGAGAATCAAAACACGTTAGCGGTGACGTAAATTGCTCTTTAGTCGTCTCTCCCGACGCTGCTAATGAGAATGTGAAGCGGCCACTCATTTTAGGGGAGACAGAAAGGCTGTCACTTTTAGCATTTGCAGGATTTGTTGCCCCGGAGTCATCCAGAATTTTAACTTTTACACCACAGATTGTTAGCGTATATTACGGGCATGAATTATCTCTAAAAAGTGCCAATTGCAATTTGTTGTTTTTCAACTTACATGAGCGGTCGCTTTGGTGACGAATGTGAACCCGGGTTTGGTCAGTCGCTCGTGTTTCCTCCACGCCCGCCTCTGGCCCCGTGTGAGCCTCTGCCTTTAACGCCTCCTCCGGTAACAGTCCTTCGACCCATGTCGAGCACACAGTCTTTCCGCCGGGCTGTGGAAGTTTTTCAAAGTCCGCAGGAGGCCCAGGTAGCCCAAAGCGTTAGCATGTGGTCCATGAGGGTTGGTGAATAACCCAAACGTGCCGGTCACAATGGCTTCTTCTGTTTGCGGTGCGGGAACAACTTTCAAGGGGGTTTCCGCGGGTGCGTTTGGTATATCACGCTGCCCCCTCCGTGGAGAACAGTCACGGGATTTGGAGCAGTTTCTCTCTGTGCTCCAAAGCAGTTGTCGGTGTCTCACATATTTGCTTCCCCCGCTTCTTCTTCTGTGGTTTCCTGAGCGTGTGTCTGTTTCCGCCTCTTCTTCTTCTGCGGTTTGGGCCCACTTCTCGCGGGGTCTCAGCTGGTGCGGGCGCCGCCTGTGGTTGGGGCGTGGGGCTGGTGCTTTGAGGCAGAGGCAGAGCGCGGAGGAAAGGCGCCGACAGACCTGGATAGGGACAGGGAAAAGAGACAACAGTAGTCTGCTTCATTTTTTAAAAACCCAACGCCTTGTTTGGGCGCGTACTTAGCATGGAGTTCTGCTCCTAGTGTGAAAGGGTTAGTAGGTGAGAGAGGGCGGTAGGGTGGGGGTGTGGGGGATGTGTGTGTGTGTGTGTGTGTGCGCCTGTGTGTTCTCCGCTTCGGTGAAAGGCGGAGGAGCTATTGTTTTTACATATTTCTTTCTCTAACCTCTTTTGCCGTGATATTCTTAAAACCAAGTATATTTTTTCTTCCCTTCTTCTTCTAAATTTATCACGCAAGATGCGTAAATGATTCGGAGACATATGGCCTCCATCGGAAAAACGCCAGATGACCTGCACCATAGGCAAGCACTTCATAGCTTGCATCCGTAGATTGATTTTACCCATTTTCTCGTACGAACAATGGGCCTAACCCGCTTAGTCTCTCCCTGCTCTTTACCCACTTTGGGGCGCTCCATTCCCCCCTCGCTGGTTCAACCAGCGAGCGCGCGTTCTTGAAATGGAGCGGGTCTGGCTGAAGACACTCAGAGATTCCAGGGTCGCTTACAGAGCGATTACTAACGCGCAGCCGCTAGCTTCAATCTAGAACAGAAGCCCCCAAAAAAAATCCCGCACACAGACTATGCTGTGGCAATGAATGAAATATCCCAAAAATACATAAATAAACAAATCCCCGTGTACACTTAAGTGCTGCCCTGGGCTCGTTACGCAGATGAAAAGACAAGACTCACCAGATTAGGTTCTTTTTGGTCTTGTGTGGCAAAAGAATCCTTCCATGCGCGGACGAGCGCGCCCTCCTTTGTCTCCAAAAAGGAACAGAGGCTGGTGATCCAGGTCGGCCAAACAAAGCCGCTCGTCCCCGCCGAAAGTATCCCATGCCAAGACATGTCAGCAACGCCAAATTGTTATAGAATTATATACCCCATGAAGGAGAAAACTCAAAGGTCCTAACCCTAACCCTAGTTTATTGTTAACGCACGTGCGGAGAGCTAGCATATCCAGAAGGCAGCATACTCAGCTCTGCCCGCAGGCGAGTATTTTATTCGTAGGTAGGTTCTGCCACAGGGACCGATTTCAGCCAATCAGAAAGCTAGTCTGAAGTGACGTGTTCAACGCGCCGGCAGACGACTGTGAATTACTAGGCAAATGTGGATATAAACATTGCACGACTCGAGAGGCAGCACGACAGAGAGGAGCAAAGTGGTCACGTTGCCAAAAGCTGCTGATCAAAACAGGATAATGAAAAACCAAAACAACAGCTAAACCAGGACTAAATCAGGACTGACACCGTGCTTGTGAACATAATAAAGTGACATGTTACGATCGGTGAACTCAAGTGTTATTATTGATTTTTGTCGCGCATGCGTACTTGTGTACCCCTGTATAACTTTAATATCTACAGTATTTGGTATAACCGTCTCATTCGCGGGTGTTTTCGCGGGTGTTTGTGTTTGTATACGTGTAATGTGAAAGTGTATGTAATATTAAACTAAAATGTCTTCACATTTCGACTGTGGGTGTGACAGTAATTCCATTGATGACCCGCAATTGTCACGGCTAAAGGTAAAATACTTATGATAATAAAGGTTTATTCATGAATTATGAATTGTAATGGTAAAACAGTCTATGGGTAAAACAGACCGCGGGATTTTGCTAATGTCAATTGCTAATGTGCAGCTTCATTTATAGATTAATTTCTGACTTATTGTAAAATTTCAAAGTTTGAAACTATATAAATGCTTGATAAAAACAACATATAAAACAGGACTTACAAGGGCCAAGAATATATATAGAAAATAACATTGCATGATTCATTTACAAGAAGGAAGAAGAACAAGTAATACATTGACATTGAATATATAGCTACATAAGTGTGGGATATGGTATAACTAATTTAATGTGAAATCACCATTAACATATGTCCATGTTTTTTGTACGCTTAAGGCCATATTGCCCGATCAATATGAGCATCGAATATGTTCCTTCAAGGACCTTCCTTCTGAGAATGGGTTTTCAGCAACTTTACGCCTTCCAATCCGAACACGGGAAGAGGCTGTTGAGTGGAAGAAGGATTTCCAAGAGGCCTCTAAAACAACTCTTCGACTCTCAAAAACATATCCCCATGTGGGTCAGAAGGTCATTTTCAGAGTAAGTAGTTGTAGCACTTTATCATCATGATTATACCAGTAATTCAGATATAGAGATCCTTTATTCGTCCCACAGTGGGGAAATTTCAGTGTTGCATCATCAAGTTATTGAACAGTAGGGAAAAGGAGCACACAGCACAAGTTAAGTGAAATAAAACAAAATCTCTAACTCTAGCATCAATAACAAGTATAACATCTCAATCTTGAAAATAATAATAACAAGAAGTGTAAAAGTTTTACATTTGGCTAAGAGGCAAGTATAAAGTACTGTGTATTCTAGTGCAAGCAAACAACAAACAAAACAACATTACATATCATTACATATGGGTGAGTATGGAAAGAATAAGTTTGGAATTGGCTATTCTATTCATTCAGTATTCACAATTCATTCTTCTTTTTCATCTCTACAGAATGACTTTGTTAATTTTTTTAGTGCCTTAAAGTTTTAAATATTTTGTTTTTATGCTTTAGGAAGACCTACGCTGTCAACATAATACACGTTCATTTGCTAAAAAATCTGGGAATACTCATTCATCACATAAAGACACAAAGTGCAATGCGACCATGTCAATCACAATACAACGTACAGGACTGAAGAGACAAAGGTAACTGACTGCAGGGCTGTAATGAACTATTATTTTGATAATTAATTGGTCGTTTATATCAGATTATATTAAAAACCCATTTCAGCTACATATATAGTATTTGGACATTTTGTTCAATTAGATTAGATTAGATAGGTATTTATTTCCAACCTGCAGGTGTATACATACAGGAAAACAGAAATACAAAGTCTGCGTGGTTTGAAAGGGGAATGATGGAAGCTTACGCTTATATACACTCCTCAGACACCAGTAAAAGTGCAGCACTCGGAAAAAACAAGATATATCACCACCTCCCTGAACCAATATTTGCTGCAATGACTAAGTACACGGCCATTTCTCTGGTATTCCACTGTCAAGATGTTTTATTTGTACACAATGTGAGCCATACCGGCATGTGAATGGCAGGTCTCGTCACACCTCTGAAGCTAAGGCAGTGCAAGGCTCTGGTCGTACTAGTGATGGGAGACATGGCTGCTGCATAATTATAATGAGCACTTTGTTTCCTTTGGCACCCCACATTGCCGAGAAGGGTCTTCCTTGTGTGTGTGTGTGAGCGAATGGTTGGTGGTGCTTCAAAGTAGTGGTGAAACATCTTGAATGGAAGCTTACGCATATTTTAAAAGAATGATGATGAATGTTTTGTCAAATTGATTATGACAATATCCAATGTGGCCTCTTGAGAAATAATTGCCCATGCATGATCTAGAACTGGAACGATTATTGGGTCTTTTCTTATTGTTAGTGTTAACTTCTGTTGTCATAAGTGGAAATTCCAACATGCTGTCTAACACAATCACAGGGGACAAACATGATTTAGGGTATTTTCTGTTAAAAAGAAATAAAGAAAGTAAAAGGAAACGTCGCCGCTGGAGCCCTGTCCATTTGATTCTCAGTCGATACTCGAGCGTGAGCTGGGGTGGCTGTGATTGCCGCGTGTTTTGTGCAGAGTTTGAAGAAGTGCTGTTTTCCCTTTTCAGATACTAGGGAAAAGACACATAGGCAAGAAATAGTAGCCATCGGGTTCCAGGAGGAAATCACGCCTTTCGTCCCAGATATGATCCTGTCCAACTTCCTGCACGCGTATGTGGTGGTGCAGGTGGAGAACCTGCTCGGGACAATGTGCTTTCCTAAAGGTCAGTTTAAGAATCATGAACATTTGAACTAACTTTAAAAATTCACCTTGCTATTTGCAGATTAATGTATGTATTTTTTATTTATTTTCTCAACAGTATATTGAATCATTGACTGCCAGCCGTTTTTGATTATTTACATGTAATTGACTTTCAAGACCCACAGAATATTATGTGCTATGATTTTGTGAAATATGGAATACAGATCTGAAATACATGGATTGATTATACTTTCCTCAGACAAAAAATTTGTTTGTTTTTAGCTATTTTTGTTGTCTGTAATCCAGTGTTTTTCAAACTTTTTTGAGCCATGGCACTCTTTTTTTCATTGAAAAAATCCCGCGGCACACCACCAGGAGAAATGTTAAAGTTATACCCTTCTAGCCAGGATACCCCAAAGTGGGGCCCGGGGCCAATAGTTGGCCCACCTCCGCTGTAAGTTTCTAACTGCGTCCTCAACCTAATGAACAACAGTGACATGTATGAGATCGCGCGGGCGCACCAAAGCCCTCTGAATTCGGAATTTGTCCACGTACTTTACTGTTGTAGGGAGATACACATCCTACTCATGGGGTCACATCTACTTGCCCCACTAAATGTTTTTTAAAAATCAAACCACATCTTTTTAAACATTTGGGTGAAGGCCACCTTTATGTTTTTTTTTTCATCCTACTTTTATAATTTTTAGCCAATTTATTTGTTTTATCAAATGAGAGGATTGTGCTGCCGAACTGCCACTCCCCCTCCCTCACCGGAGGGAAATGGAGAGTGGATACTATTACTGTGCAATCCGCACCCACCCGGTGTGTTTAAAAAAGACGGACACACACTTCAGTGTGAGTTCAAGCAGGACAAGCAGGCGATCGCCAGCGCACGTTCCACGATGTAGAAGCAACAAATACTGCGCAAAACAAACCCTTCTACATCCCCTTGAAAGGAAGCCGGTAAGACGCCGTCCTCACTCGCAATCAGTGAATGTCAGAACTTTCGCTGACTTTATGTTGCGTTCAAGTGCCTTTGGATGAGCGGAAACACGGACTTTTAACAGTTACTTTGTTTTGAGTGTTTATAATATGTTGTGGTGTGCTTAGGCAAATAAAACAAACTCCAGGAACAATAATAGGGTTAAAGGAGCAATATGTAATATTTGCATTGTCAAGTTCATCATTTATTGGGACCCGATTATTTCAAAAGGCGTTATTATAAATCATACTCTTTTCGAATTCATTCTTTAACCTGATACAGTAGTCAGAACGAGATATTTGATCATCAAAATTAGTTTTACGACCCGTAAAAGTTGTTATTGTTTTGATTTTGATGTCCTACCCTCCGCCGTGTCGCCAATCAGGAAGTGTCATGTATGTCCTAGGTGATAAAGACAAACACACACACACACACACACACACACACACACACACACACACACACACACACACACACACACACACACCACACACACACCTACTGCTTCCAATCATGTCCCAGACTTGTTTTTGCTCTCTCCTCGGGCTGTTCTCTTTCAGGATCCGACCCGGTAACCTGGGAGAGGGGGGAGATAGAGGGGGAGAGCGAGAGGGGGGGGGAGAGGAAGGGGGTTTCATCATCTGGTTCCTATTCTCCCCGCCCTGTCCCAATGAAATCCGAGCTGCTTAAGACCAGAGCTGAATTATGACCCATCAATAAATACCATATTCTCGGGGCTTTGATCCGACACAGGGAATGGAAAGTGGTGCGGCGTCATGAGAGAGAGTTACGGCCTGATAGCTTTGCTGCTAATCTCCCAGTTTGGAGTTCCGGACTCTTCCTCTGTGGCTGCGGCTTCATCTGTTTTGACAGCGGCGTGAACTATTGGGCATTTTTCAGACGGTTTTTTTCTATTAGCTTTAGCCACAAATCTCAAAACGTCACAACTATTTTCAATCTCTCTCCACTCTCCGTGACCCCAGAAAGAGAGAGAGAGAGGGGGGAGGGAGGCGGGTGAGAGGGAGGGAGAGCGGGGGGGGGGGGAGGGAGAGCGAGAGAGAGGGGGAGGGAGGGAGGGAGAGCGAGAGAGAGGGGAGGGGGAGGGAGAGAGACCGAGCAAGAGAGAGAGAGGGAGAGGAGAGAGACCAAGCAAGAGAGAGGGAGGGAGGGAGAGGAGAGAGACGGAGCGAGAGAGAGAGGGAGGGGGGAGAGGAGAGAGACCAAGCAAGAGAGAGAGAGGGAGGGATGGAGAGGAGAGAGACCGAGCAAGAGAGAGGGAGGGAGGAAAAGGAAAGAGACGGAGCGAGAGAGAGAGAGAGGGAGGGAGGGACAGGAGAGAGACGGAGCGAGCGAGAGAGAGAGAGGGAGGGAGGGAGAGGAGAGAGACAGAGCAAGAGAGAGAGAGGGAGGGAGGGGAGAGGAGAGAGACCGAGCGAGAGAGAGAGAGGGAGGAGGGAGAGGAGAGAGACGGCGCGAGAGAAAGAGAGAGGGAGGGAGGGAGAGGAGAGAGACCGAGCAAGAGAGAGAGAGGGAGGGAGAGGAGAGAGACGGAGCGAGAGAGAGAGAGGGAGGGAGAGGAGAGAGACGGAGCGAGAGAGAGAGGGGGAGGGAGAGAGAGAGGGGGATGAGAGAAAGTGAGAAGGATACATACATATGGAGCTTAAGCGGAGGTTCAGTATGGTAGACTACCTACGTTATCACACCAGGCTTGACCACGCCTTACTCAGCCTGTCTTAATCAACTCCCCGCAGCCGTGTCAATCAAGCCAGCGTTTAAGAGCAAAGCAGAGCACAGCTCACCAAACGGACTTCAAGCTGCAATGGGTTGCTCTTCGTCACTTTGTTTACTCACGCCTCGTACATTGTTCGTCCTGCATGGTCGCGGCTCCTCTTCAACATCACATGTTTGGGGCTGCGCGCCATGGTCGCTGTGTCTCCACCGCGGGTCCTCTCCTGCGGACTCGCTGCCGCTCGTCTTCCCGTGGCCGCTGCGCTCGCGGCCAGGCTCCGCGCACCCTGCCGCTTCCATACCGGGCACGGGACTTCTGTCTGCCTGCCGTTGTCTGCTGCCTCTGTCCACCCGTCTCCCTGCCTCCACTCACGGCTGTTCGTTTTACCATCTGCATGGCATTTAGACCGTCCGTTTTCACCATGGACCGCACATTTTAACCACTGTATTGGCCTTCTGGCTGTCCGTTTTACTCATGGGATGAACATTCTACACAATGCAGTGACCTCCAGTCTGTCCGTTTGACTATGGTCTGAACATTTTACCCACTGCAGTGACCTCCAGGCTGTCCGTTTGACTATGGTCTGAACATTTTACCCACGGCATTGACCTTCAGGCTGTCAGTTGTAACCATGGACTATAACATTTGTCGTCTGCATTGGCCTTTGCGCTGTCTATTTGACCGTGGACTGTAAGTTTTGCCCACTGCATTGCCTCCCGGCTGTCCGTGTCTGATGAGCTGCTCTGATTGGTCGGAGCGCGGCCGAGCCCCTCTGTACTGTTCGTTTTAACCAGTGCGTTGGCCTTCAGGCATGCTTCAACGGCCTCACTTCAACGCTTCATCGCAGCACACGTCGGCGGCCGCACACTTCAACGGCCACACGCTTCGCCGACGCCACTTCGGTGGCCGCACGCTTCGCCGACGCCACTTCGGTGGCCGCACGCTTCGACGACGCCACTTCGGTGGCCGCACGCTTCGACGCTTCGTCCTCCTCCACGCTTCGACTCCTCCTCCACGCTTCGACTCCTCCTCCACGCTTCGACTCCTCCTCCACGCTTCGACTCCTCCTCCACGCTTCGACGACGGCGCACGCATCGACGAAGGCGCACGCATCGACGACGGCGCTCGCTTGGGCGGCGCACGCCTTGACGCGGCACGCCTTGACGCCTCAACAACGCCGCACGCTACGCCGCAGCACGCTTTGACGCAGCACGCTTCAGCGATGGCGCACGCTTTGACGCAGCACGCATCAACGATGGCGCACGCATCAACGACGCAGCTCGCTTGGACGCAGCTCGCTTGGACGCCGCACGCCTTGACGCCGGCGCACGCCTTGACGCAGCCGCATGCATCAACGACGCCGCTCGCTTGGACGCCGCTCGCTTGGACGCCGCTCGCTTGGACGCCGCACGCCTTGACGCCTCAACGACTCTGCACGCCTTGATGCAGCACGCTTCAACGACGCCGCTCGCTTTGACGCAGCACGCTTCAACGACGCCGCACGCTTTGACGCAGCACGCTTCATCGCAGCACACGTCGGTGGCCGCACGCTTCATCGCCGTACGTCGGTCGGCGCACACGCTTCCACGTCGGTGTCCGCCTCCTGCCGCATTCTCGACCTCATGCTTCGACGCATTCGTGTGCTCTCATCCATTCATCGTGGAACCAGTGTCGACCATAGACTCGCGTTCCCTATTGGTGGGTGAACAATCCAACGCTAGGAGAGTTCTGCTTCACAATGACGGGAAGAGCCGGCATCGAAGGATCAGGTCAGTGGTCTGACTGAAGACGCGGTCTGACTGAAGACGCGGTCTGACTGAAGACGCGGTCTGTCTGACTGAAGACGCGGTCTGTCTGACTGAAGACGCGGTCTGTCTGACTGAAGACGCGGTCTGTCTGTCTGACTGAAGACGCGGTCTGTCTGTCTGACTGAAGACGCGGTCTGTCTGTCTGACTGAAGACGCGGTCTGTCTGTCTGACTGAAGACGCGGTCTGTCTGTCTGACTGAAGACGCGGTCTGTCTGTCTGACTGAAGACGCGGTCTGTCTGTCTGACTGAAGACGCGGTCTGACTGTCTGACTGAAGACGCGGTCTGTCTGTCTGACTGAAGACGCGGTCTGTCTGTCTGACTGAAGACGCGGTCTGTCTGTCTGACTGAAGACGCGGTCTGTCTGTCTGACTGAAGACGCGGTCTGTCTGTCTGACTGAAGACGCGGTCTGTCTGTCTGACTGAAGACGCGGTCTGTCTGTCTGACTGAAGACGCGGTCTGTCTGTCTGACTGAAGACGCGGTCTGACTGTCTGACTGAAGACGCGGTCTGTCTGACTGAAGACGCGGTCTGTCTGTCTGACTGAAGACGCGGTCTGTCTGTCTGACTGAAGACGCGGTCTGACTGTCTGACTGAAGACGCGGTCTGTCTGTCTGACTGAAGACGCGGTCTGTCTGTCTGACTGAAGACGCGGTCTGTCTGTCTGACTGAAGACGCGGTCTGACTGTCTGACTGAAGACGCGGTCTGACTGTCTGACTGAAGACGCGGTCTGACTGTCTGACTGAAGACGCGGTCTGTCTGTCTGACTGAAGACGCGGTCTGACTGTCTGACTGAAGACGCGGTCTGTCTGACTGAAGACGCGGTCTGACTGAAGACGCGGTCTGTCTGACTGAAGACGCGGTCTGTCTGACTGAAGACGCGGTCTGTCTGACTGAAGACGCGGTCTGTCTGACTGAAGACGCGGTCTGTCTGTCTGACTGAAGACGCGGTCTGACTGAAGACGCGGTCTGACTGAAGACGCGGTCTGACTGTCTGACTGAAGACGCGGTCTGACTGAAGACGCGGTCTGACTGAAGACGCGGTCTGACTGTCTGACTGAAGACGCGGTCTGACTGTCTGACTGAAGACGCGGTCTGACTGAAGACGCGGTCTGACTGAAGACGCGGTCTGTCTGACTGAAGACGCGGTCTGTCTGACTGAAGACGCGGTCTGACACTGCCCGTTGGTCCTTTTCACTCGAGTGATAGTGGTTCGAGGTTTCTCTTTTCAGCTTCGCAGGAACGCGATGCCGCAACGCCGCAACGCTGGCCTGCTAAGACTGCATGAGTACTGTCGGCGTGGCCTTCAAACCTGGCCGGCTATCTTCCCCGGGCCGCACTCATTGGCTTTTGGTGTGCAGCACTGCCCGCCACGGTTTGCGTGCACTCTGAGTGGCTGTAGGCGGTGCTCCTTATGTTCCCCAGGCATATTCTCTCCTGGTCTCCTGGTGCGGCTCCTGCCGCCGGGCCTGTCTCACGCTTCGCCTTACCTGACGCACCCTGGCCCTCATTCTGACCGGGCCCTCGTGCGTTGGTTTTTGGGGGTCCAGAGATCTCCTATCGAACATCAATCTTCCTGGGTAAGTGTACTTCATGAATCTCATTTTCACCTTCTAGTCTCCCCAAGTGGAATCATGTTTGAATATCAGCGCTCTAAACACCAGCAGTTCATCCTTCATTCAGCATTCTCCTTTCCCTCTCACCGCACACTCTCAGTCTCTGGACATCAGCATCGCGGGTACTGCCGTCACTGCCTCATCTACATCGGCATTAAATACATTCTCTAAAATCCACTTCGAGTCACACTGCTCCACCCTCATAAGAAGATCCTTAAAGGATTATTGGCAATGGTCCTTGTTCTGTAGTTTAGGTCCTGGACGACTAGCCTGTCTGTCCGTGGAGTGGATTCCCTCTCTCTATGTAGGGTCTTCCGAAGGTTTCTCACTTTTTTCCCCACGGGGTTTTGTGAGTTTTCCTTGCCATGCAGGAGGGTCTGGACAGTTAGTGTCCAACTAGAAGGCCCGTGGTGATGATCCAGGATCATCCAGGAACATTCTACAACATCTATGGACATTTTATCAACATTCATAGACTATAATTACTCCTCAAACAATCCCTCGACGACCCCCTGGTCTGAACAAATTCAAAACCTCTGCTCCCTGCATGTAACCTCTCTTCCTTTCTCTACACCCACCACTCCTTCCGGATAGGAGCAGCCACTGGACTGCTGCCCTGGGACTCCCTCAATCATCTCTCCAGGAGCTCGGTCCCCGGTTCTCTACCACATTCATCCGTTCTGGCAGCCCAGCGCCTCCTCTCATATAAGTACGCATGCATCTCCTGGTGGTGGCAACTCCTCATTTCCAGCATGCCGCGCACTTGAGCCGAGCTCGTGCGCGTGCCAACGCCTAGCGCTAGAGCCGAGCTCGCGCACGGACATTACGCCGCGCACTCGAGCCGAGCTCGTGCGCGTGCCAACGCCTAGCGCTAGAGCCGAGCTCGCGCACGGACATTACGCCGCGCACTTGAGCCGTGCGCGTGCCAACGCCTAGCGCTAGAGCCGAGCTCGCGCCCGGGCATTATGCCGCGCACTTGAGCCGAGCTCGTGCGCGTGCCAACGCCTAGCGCCAGAGCCGAGCTCGCGCACGGAAACAGTCACTCACACCATGCGCCTTCCATAAACGCAGCAACCAAGTCATGGCAAACTCATCGCTAGCCAAGCTCTCTTTTTGGGGATCATGATCTGCACCCAGGCGCAGATCTCTCCAGAGCACGGCCACAGCCGGGGCCTAAGCTCCAAACCAATACACAAACTCAATCCATAAAATAAACAACTCTTAAACGCATCTCGTCTCTTGTAGTCTCTCCAGGTTGAAATGGAGCTTAAGCGGAGGTTCAGTATGGTAGACTACCTACGTTATCACACCAGGCTTGACCACGCCTTACTCAGCCTGTCTTAATCAACTCCCCGCAGCCGTGTCAATCAAGCCAGCGTTTAAGAGCAAAGCAGAGCACAGCTCACCAAACGGACTTCAAGCTGCAACCACCTCCTCCCCACCTCCGCCTCAGGATTTCTTCACTCTCACATTCACCTTGCCTTGTTGCCACCACCAGTGTCTAGGCCCCGGGGGATCATGATCTGCACCCAGGCGCAGATCTCTCCAGAGCACGGCCACAGCCGGGGCCTAAGCTCCAAACCAATACACAAACTCAATCCATAAAATAAACAACTCTTAAACGCATCTCGTCTCTTGTAGTCTCTCCAGGTTGAAACATAATGAGACATCTCTGGTCTTCAGTCTCTCTCTGGTCTTCGGAGTAGATAAAGTCTTCAGTCTCTCTCTGGTCTTCGGTCTCGCTCTGGTCTTCGGAGTAGATAAAGTCTTCGGTCTCTCTCTGGTCTTCGGTCTCGCTCTGGTCTTCGGAGTAGATAAAGTCTTCGGTCTCTCTGACAGCAGAATGCAGGGGTCAGGTCTGGGGGTGCACCTGCCTGAGGTCGGGGCCTCTGCTGCGGAAAAGACTGGAATAACATCAGGAGAAATACGACACTCTACTCCAGGACCAGACCCAGGTCCAGATCCAGGTCCAGGTCCAGATCCAGGTCTAGTGGATATAAATTTAGACTTTCCAAACTAATAAAAACTGTATTATTTTTATTTTGACGCTAATCATTTTAATGTTGAACTCCAATAAAGCTATGTTTAGTTGTTTAATGTTAGAATCCGCCACCAGGAATGGACTGAGGCTGTAGACCCAGGACTGAGGCTGTAGACCCAGGACTGAGGCTGTAGATCCAGGACTGAGGCTGTAGATCCAGGACTGAGGCTGTAGATCCAGGACTGAGGCTGTAGACCCAGGACTGAGGCTGTAGACCCAGGACTGAGGCTGTAGATCCAGGACTGAGGCTGTAGACCCAGGACTGAGGCTGTAGATCCAGGACTGAGGCTGTAGACCCAGGACTGAGGCTGTAGATCCAGGACTGAGGCTGTAGACCCAGGACTGAGGCTGGATCCACGGCGGAGATGGGCCTGACTCCGTCTGTTCATATTCACAGTCTATGGTCCAATCCAATCTGTAAAGTAGCAATATGTAGATTTTCATGCCAAGACATCATTAAAGGGCTCTAATCTGTCATTATTAAAGGGCCCTAATCTGTCATCATTAAAGGGCCCTAATCTGTCTTCATTAAAGGGCCCTAATCTGTCATCATTAAAGGGCCCTAATCTGCCTTCATTAAAGGGCCCTAAGCTGTCATCATTAAAGGGCCCTAATCTGCCTTCATTAAAGGGCCCTAATCTGTCATCATTAAAGGCCCCTAATCTGTCATCATGAAAGGGCCGTAATCTGTCATAATAATAAACTGCTTCTTTCAAATACTTCTTTAACTGATAAAAGTAGTTCAGAAATATTTGAATTTCTAAATTACTTTTCCAGCCCCTAAATCTTGTTATTGTTTTCATTTCGATGTCCCGCCCTCCACTGTTTCACCAATCAGAAAGTCTTTGATCCGGGCGCCAGAACTCACCACATGGAGCTAATTTCACTGGTAAAGTACCATGCGGCGCAGAACTAAAAAAGTCTTGTTATGATTCTCAAATCATTAACGAAAAAACAGGATTTCTATCTTTGTGAAAAAGGTGTTGGTTTTAGATTCTTTTATCCAGATATTATGGTCCCAGCTGGATTCGTCTGCATATCTGGCAACCTGAGTCAGGGAGAGTGGGAGAGGCTGCAGTACCACTTTTGGCTAGATTTTTACATACTGCTCCTATAATGTCCTTAGACCCTCCTGCATCAGCTAGGAATCACTCAAACACCTTGTGGTAAAAATAAGTGGGGAACAGAGAGGCTTTTACAGATGGATCCAAGACTCAGACTGTAGAACGAGGACTGAGGAAACACTAGAAAGAGAGAGAGAGAGAGAGACAGACTCCGTGGATGAAACTGGAGCTTGACAGATTGGAGGATTCCTCAGATAAAAGCAGAGGCGTGATCCCTGAGCTCGACCTCTGCCCTGGCCAGAGTGGACCCCGGACCCGGACACAGGCTCAGACCCGGACTCAGACCCGGACTCGGCCTGAGGCGTGTGCTCTGTGCTGCGCTGATGGGAGCTGTCAAACATCCACACATTCTGCTGCGGCTTTGAAGATCACACGTCCGGCTTTCAACTCCAAACGTCGCCATCGGCTGCTTCCAGATTCTCCTCTGTGTGCTGTGAAAGGAGGAGGAGTGAAGGGACCAGGCCACACTGTTGGTAAAACTGTCATAGGGAACCGATTAAAGCTGGGGTACCTAACTTTTAACTTTTTATAACAACACAGACACACACACATATTCACTCAGACAAGATTTAAGCCCCGTTTCCACCGACTCTTGAGCTGATACTAAAGAGTTCTTACTGAATTTAACTGCATTTTGTTATTTTGTGGGTAGGTTTCTTGGTCACGGTACCAGTGTGTGTGACTTTTGTGTAGTTTTATAACTTCTTCACCTGCAACGACCTAGAAAACAGTTTGGTTTCATCGCTGCACACGTTTCTGCCATTTCAATCTGGAGCGACGACACAGACACAAACATTATATTACATTTTTATTAATTTGTTTGTTTGGTTCTTGGTCCCGACTGCGGCACTTTGTCCGAAGATCAATCCTTGTGTGCTGCTTATAATCCCCTGGGACATAGGTACTGGTGGCAGAAGACATAGGTACAGGTGGTGACATAGGTACAGGTGGAGGCCTAGGTACAGGTGGTGACATAGGTACAGGTGGAGGCCTAGGTACAGGTGGTGACATAGGTACAGGTGGAGGCCTAGGTACAGGTGGAGACATAGGTACAGGTGGTGACATAAGTACAGGTGGTGACATAGGTACAGGTGGTGACATAGGTACAGGTGAAGACATAGGTACAGGTGGAGGCCTAGGCACAGGTGGTGACATAGGTACAGGTGCAGACATAGATACAGGTGGAGGCCTAGATACAGGTGGTGACATAGGTACAGGTGGAGGCCTAGGTACAGGTGGTGACATAGGTACAGGTGTAGACGTAGGTACAGGTGCAGACATAGGTACAGGTGGTGACATAGGTACAGGTGGAGACATAGGTACAGGTGGAGGCCTAGGTACAGGTGGTGACATAGGTACAGGTGGAGACATAGATACAGGTGGAGGCCTAGGTACAGGTGGTGACATAGGTACAGGTGGAGGCCTAGGTACAGGTGGTGACATAGGTACAGGTGGAGACATAGGTACAGGTGGAGGCCTAGGTACAGGTGGTGACATAGGTACAGGTGGAGGCCTAGGTACAGGTGGTGACATAGGTACAGGTGGAGACATAGGTACAGGTGGAGGCCTAGGTACAGGTGGAGACATAGGTACAGGTGGAGACATAGGTACAGGTGGAGACATAGGTACAGGTGCAGACATAGGTACAGGTGGAGACGTAGGTACAGGTGCAGACATAGGTACAGGTGGTGACATAGGTACAGGTGGTGACATAGGTACAGGTGGTGACATAAGTACAGGTGGTGACATAGGTACAGGTGGTGACATAGGTACAGGTGGTGACATAGGTACAGGTGGAGGCCTAGGCACAGGTGGTGACATAGGTACAGGTGCAGACATAGATACAGGTGGAGGCCTAGATACAGGTGGTGACATAGGTACAGGTGGAGGCCTAGGTACAGGTGGTGACATAGGTACAGGTGTAGACGTAGGTACAGGTGCAGACATAGGTACAGGTGGTGACATAGGTACAGGTGGAGACATAGGTACAGGTGGAGGCCTAGGTACAGGTGGTGACATAGGTACAGGTGGAGACATAGATACAGGTGGAGGCCTAGGTACAGGTGGTGACATAGGTACAGGTGGAGGCCTAGGTACAGGTGGTGACATAGGTACAGGTGGAGACATAGGTACAGGTGGAGGCCTAGGTACAGGTGGTGACATAGGTACAGGTGGAGGCCTAGGTACAGGTGGTGACATAGGTACAGGTGGAGACATAGGTACAGGTGGAGGCCTAGGTACAGGTGGAGACATAGGTACAGGTGGAGACATAGGTACAGGTGGAGACATAGGTACAGGTGCAGACATAGGTACAGGTGGAGACGTAGGTACAGGTGCAGACATAGGTACAGGTGGTGACATAGGTACAGGTGGTGACATAGGTACAGGTGGAGACATAGGTACAAGTGGAGACATAGGTACAACTATAGAATTCTAAAAATTCTAAATTCTAAAAAAACGCCTTTTCCCTTGTAAAAACTGGTTAAACTTTCTAATTTTTTCTCTTTTTTTTATTGCACACTTGAACTTACTTGAGAGTTGTCTTCCGTAACAGTCGACTAAGTTTCAGTTTCTCTCAGTTTTCAGAATGTTCTGAGTCGCGTCCCGCCCCGGGACATAGAACACACACTGGTTACACTCAGAACAATAATGTGGTTTGGTTCAAAGCCATATTCATAAATGTTAATGTGAGAGAAACCTGTACACAAACTTAGATCACGGCAAAGAGACGGCTCCCTCGTTTCTGACACACAATAGTCACGCACACACAAAAGTCACGCACACACAAAAGTCACGCACACACAAAAGTCACGCACACACAAAAGTCACGCACACACAAAAGTCACGCACACACAAAAGTCACGCACACACAATAGTCACGCACACACAAAAGTCACGCACACACAAAAGTCACGCACACACAAAAGTCACGTACACACAAAAGACACGCACAAACAAAAGTCACGCACACACAAAAGTCACGTACACACAAAAGTCATGTACACACAAAAGTCACGCACACACAAAAGTCACGTACACACAAAAGTCACGTACACACAAAAGTCACATGCACACAAAAGTCACGTACACACAAAAGTCACGCACACACAAAAGTCACGCACACACAAAAGTCACGTACACACAAAAGTCACGTACACACAAAAGTCACGCACGCACAAAAGTCACGCACACACAAAAGTCACGTACACACAAAAGTCACGTACACACAAAAGTCACGTACACACAATAGTCACGCACACACAAAAGTCACGCACACACAAAAGTCACGCACACACAAATTCACGTACACACAAAAGTCACGTACACACAATAGTCACACACACACAAAAGTCACGTACACACAATAGTCACGCACACACAAAAGTCACGCACACACAAAAGTCACGCACACACAAAAGTCACGCACACACAAAAGTCACGCACACACAAAAGTCACGCACACACAAAAGTCACGTACACACAAAAGTCACGCACACACAAAAGTCACGCACACACAAAAGTCACGCACACACAAAAGTCACGTACACACAAAAGTCACGCACACACAAAAGTCACGTACACACACAAGAGTCACGCACACACAAAAGTCACGCACACACAAGTCACGTACACACAAAAGTCACGTACACACAATAGTCACGCACACACAAAAGTCACGCACACACAAAAGTCACGTACACACACAAGAGTCACGCACACACAAAAGTCACGTACACACACAAGAGTCACTCACACACAAAAGTCACGCACACACAAAAGTCACGCACACACAAAAGTCACGTACACACAAAAGTCACGCACACACAAAAGTCACGCACACACAAAAGTCACGTACACACAAAAGACACGCACACACAAAAGTCACGTACACACACAAGTCACATACACACAAAAGTCACGCACACACAAAAGTCACGCACACACAAAAGTCACGTACACACAAAAGTCACGCACACACAAAAGTCACGTACACACAAAAGTCACGTGCACACAAAAGTCACGTACACACAAAAGTCACGCACACACAAAAGTCACGTACACACAAAAGTCACGTACACACAATAGTCACGCACACACAAAAGTCACGCACACACAAAAGTCACGCACACACAAAAGTCACGCACACACAAAAGTCACGCACACACAAAAGTCACGCACACACAAAAGTCACGCACACACAAAAGTCACGTACACACAAAAGTCAGTGCCTTAAGTCTGTTTCGTTTCAATGAGGTTTAGTCAGAAGAAAGTAAAATACATTTCTATTCTCTCCTGTCTTTCTCCTAGTGTCATGCTGGTCCTCTCCTGTCTCTCTCCTAGTGTCATGCTGGTCCTCTCCTGTCTCTCTCCTAGTGTCATGCTGGTCCTCTCCTGTCTCTCTCCTAGTGTCATGCTGGTCCTCTCCTGTCTCTCTCCTAGTGTCATGCTGGTCCTCTCCTGTCTCTCTCCTAGTGTCATGCTGGTCCTCTCCTGTCTCTCTCTTAGTGTCATGCTGGTCCTCTCCTGTCTCTCTCCTAGTGTCATGCTGGTCCTCTCCTGTCTCTCTCCTAGTGTCATGCTGGTCCTCTCCTGTCTTTCTCCTAGTGTCATGCTGGTCCTCTCCTGTCTTTCTCCTAGTGTCATGCTGGTCCTCTCCTGTCTTTCTCCTAGTGTCATGCTGGTCCTCTCCTGTCTTTCTCCTAGTGTCATGCTGGTCCTCTCCTGTCTATCTCCTAGTGTCATGCTGGTCCTCTCCTGTCTTTCTCCTAGTGTCATGCTGGTCCTCTCCTGTCTTTCTCCTTGTGTCATGCCGGTCCTCTCCTGGTGTTATGCTGAGGGCCCCTGGATCGTCCCCTGGGGCCCGGGTTCTACAGGCTGAGACTAGTCCAGGGTCCTGAAACTCCAGTTCAAACTAAAACAAAGGTCTATTCTCTCACAGCTGCTAGTAAGTCCCAGCTCCACAATATTCTGAACATTGTAAGTTAAAGCTAGGGCACCTAATTTCTAAAAACTAAATTAACGTAGTCATAAAATCATAAAAAAGTATTTGGGCCTCAGTAGCAACTTTAAATCAGCTTTTTCAAACAAAAAAGTGAAAAAAGAGGACCTCCCTCATTCGGCCAATCAGCTCTCAGGGATTTTTCTATCGAGTGTACAAAAGATAAAACTTTTTGTGTTGGGTCAAAAAGTGTGAAAGAAGAAAGTTAGGAACCACCGCTTGGAATATTAGGGATTATTTTTGTCAATTAGAAATGATAATTAAATAATGTAGACTCTTCAGGTAGTTGGCTGTAACTCCCGATGCTGCCACAAGGAGGAGAAGCTGAATTTACATGTTTTATTTTGTCTATATTTGAAAATTACCAGCTGCAAACACAGGATGTGATTGTAAAGAACCTGAGAAATTACTGGAACTATAGTGCATGGGTAATAGTTGTCTATGTTTATGTCATCTTTAATAGCAGCTAGCTGGAGTTGGGGCACGACTGCGTTAGCTTAGCATCGTAACAGGGGCAAATGTGTTGCTAAGACGGTTGCTAAGCTAAGCTGGCGTGAATGAATGAAGTCACGTGATTGGTCAATCCATATACGGCTCATATCTGGATTTACAAAGACAATACCACAATAACAACAGCAGGATCACGGAAGGAGCGAGTTTGTTGTTGTTTGTTTGTTTTTAGTTTTACATGTTAATTGGAGCCAGAGCGAGTAGGAGAAAAAGTTGGTGCAAAATGAAGCAGAGAGCAAGAGGAGGGAAAGAGACCCTAAGGAGACCAGAGGGAGCAGAGAGAGGAGAGAGAGAGACCCTAAGGAGACCAGAGGGAGCAGAGAGAGGAGAGAGAGAGACCCTAAGGAGACCAGAGGGAGCAGAGAGAGGAGAGAGAGAGACCCTAAGGAGACCAGAGGGAGCAGAGAGAGGAGAGAGAGAGACCCTAAGGAGACCAGAGGGAGCAGAGAGAGGAGAGAGAGAGACCCGAGAGAGGCCAGAGGGAGCAGAGAGAGGAGGGAGAGAGACCCTAAGGAGACCAGAGGGAGCAGAGAGAGGAGGGAGAGAGACCCGAGAGACGCCAGAGGGAGCAGAGAGAGGAGGGAGAGAGACCCTAAGGAGACCAGAGGGAGCAGAGAGAGGAGGGAGAGAGACCCGAGAGAGGCCAGAGGGAGCAGAGAGAGGAGAGAGAGAGACCCGAGAGAGGCCAGAGTGAGCAGAGAGAGGAGAGAGAGAGACCCGAGAGACGCCAGAGGGAGCAGAGAGAGGAGGGAGAGAGACCCTAAGGAGACCAGAGGGAGCAGAGAGAGGAGGGAGAGAGACCCGAGAGAGGCCAGAGAGAAACCAGAGGGACCAGAGAGAGACTAGAGAGAGACCTGAGAGAGGCCAGAGAGAAACCAGAGGGACCAGAGAGAGACTAGAGAGAGACCCGAGAGAGGCCAGAGGGAGCAGAGAGAGGAGAGAGAGAGACCCGAGAGAGATCAAAGAGAAACCAGAGGGACCAGAGAGAGAAGAGGGAGATAGACCAGAGGGAGACCAGAGAAAGACTAGAGGGAGACCAGAGAAAGACTAGAGAGAGACCAGAGAGAGAGCAGAGAGAGATGAATCAATCCAACATAGTCCATGAGTGCTATACTGGGCTTCGTTGAGATAGCGGTTAGCATTGTCCATCTACAGTATATACAGTCAATGCTCTTTCCTTATAAACTTGGTAAATAATAATAAAAACATATTTATTTATATTATTATTATTGTTTGGATATTGCTGCCACAACAAATGCACCCGATATAAACTATACATACTTTACATTAGCATCTGTAGCATGTCCAAACCTTCTGCGATCCCAGTTCCAGGACTCGTGCTTGTCGTGGCAGGACGCTGTTCCGCTCTTGGCGTGTGTTTGTGCGCTGTGACAGATGGGGCTGAAGTAGCTGTGGTCAGGTGTCGGCAAAGGCACTAATCTGTCCTCGGGTCCATCCCACAATTCACAGCAGCAGGCGTCTGGGGCGGACAGAGAGAAAGATGGATCTGTCCTGAGAGAGTGAAGAGAGAGAGAGACCAGAGGGAGGCCAGAGGGAGCAAAGAGAGAAGAGAGAGAGATGGATCTGTCCCGAGAGAGAGAAGAGAGAGAGAGACCAGAGGGAGGCCAGAGGGAGCAAAGAGAGAAGAGAGAGAGAGAGACCAGAGGGAGGCCAGAGGGAGCAAAGAGAGAAGAGAGAGAGAGAGACCAGAGGGAGGCCAGAGGGAGCAAAGAGAGAAGAGAGAGAGAGAGACCAGAGGGAGGCCAGAGGGAGCAAAGAGAGAAGAGAGAGAGAGAGACCAGAGGGAGAACAGAGGGAGCAAAGAGAGAAGAGAGAGAGATGGATCTGTCCTGAGAGAGAGAAGAGAGAGAGAGACCAGAGGGAGGCCAGAGGGAGCAAAGAGAGAAGAGAGAGAGAGAGACCAGAGGGAGGCCAGAGGGAGCAAAGAGAGAAGAGAGAGAGAGAGACCAGAGGGAGGCCAGAGGGAGCAAAGAGAGAAGAGAGAGAGAGAGACCAGAGGGAGAACAGAGGGAGCAAAGAGAGAAGAGAGAGAGATGGATCTGTCCTGAGAGAGAGAAGAGAGAGAGAGACCAGAGGGAGGCCAGAGGGAGCAAAGAGAGAAGAGAGAGAGACACCAGAGGGAGGCCAGAGGGAGCAAAGAGAGAAGAGAGAGAGAGAGACCAGAGGGAGGCCAGAGGGAGCAAAGAGAGAAGAGAGAGAGAGACCAGAGGGAGGCCAGAGGGAGCAAAGAGAGAAGAGAGAGAGATGGATCTGTCCTGAGAGAGAGAAGAGAGAGAGAGACCAGAGGGAGGCCAGAGGGAGCAAAGAGAGGAGGGAGAGATGGATCTGTCCTGAGAGAGAGAGAAGCTCTTGATGAGGAGCTGATGGTCGGCTCCCACTTGAGGTCCTGGTGATGGTGGTGCCCAGGAAACGATAGGACTCCACAGAGGTGATGGGGGAGTCCATCACGGAGGGTGGGGGCGGGTGGACTGTGCTCTTCCTGAAGTCCACAATCATCTCCACTGTAGGAGACACCAGGACACCAGCCGGTCCACCTCGCTCCTGTAGGAGACACCAGGACACCAGCCGGTCCACCTCCCTCCTGTAGGAGACACCAGGACACCAGCCGGTCCACCTCCCTCCTGTAGGAGACATTAGGACACCAGCCGGTCCACCTCCTCCTGTAGGAGACATTAGGACACCAGCCGGTCCACCTCCTCCTGTAAGAGACATTAGGACACCAGCCGGTCCACCTCCTCCTGTAGGAGGCATTAGGACACCAGCCGGTCCACCTCCTCCTGTAGGAGACATTAGGACACCAGCCGGTCCACCTCCCTCCTGTAGGAGACATTAGGACACCAGCCGGTCCACCTCCCTCCTGTAGGAGACATTAGGACACCAGCCGGTCCACCTCCCTCCTGTAGGAGACATTAGGACACCAGCCGGTCCACCTCCTCCTGTAGGAGACATTAGGACACCAGCCGGTCCACCTCCTCCTGTAGGAGACATTAGGGCACCAGCCGGTCCACCTCCTCCTGTAGGAGACATTAGGACACCAGCCGGTCCACCTCCTCCTGTAGGAGACATTAGGGCACCAGCCGCTCCACCTCCCTCCTGTAGGCAGACTCACTGTTGTTGGAGATGAGTCCAATGAGGGTGGTGTCGTCCGCGAACTTGATCAGCTTCACGGAGTCGTGGCTGGAGGTGGAGTAGGAGGAGGTGCAGTGGTTGGAGGTGCAGAGGAGGTGCAGTGGTTGGAGGTGCAGAGGAGGTGCAGTGGTTGGAGGTGCAGAGGAGGTGCAGTGGTTGGAGGTGCAGAGGAGGTGCAGTGGTTGGAGGTGCAGTGGTTGGAGGTGCAGAGGAGGTGCAGAGGAGGTGCAGTGGTTGGAGGTGCAGAGGAGGTGCAGAGGAGGTGCAGTGGTTGGAGGTGCAGAGGAGGTGCAGTGGTTGGAGGTGCAGAGGAGGTGCAGTGGTTGGAGGTGGAGCCCTTGTATTTATAATCCCAGAGTCTGAGACATGAGCTGGCCTTATGGACCAACAGCTCTGTAGTGATCGTTATATTCTCTGATCTGTTGTTGGCGAAGTCCTCTGAGAAAACTGCTGTTGTGACTCAGGGCAATAAAAAATAAAATGAATTGAACTTGCCTTGGAAATTCAGGTAACTCACCACAAAACCACATTCTGGTCTTGTTTCTGGGAATTTTATGGTAAATAACTATGAAACTACAGCAGTGGTTTTGGTGATGAAGAGGAGATGGTGCTGGAGACACTGGTGATGAAGAGTGACACACACTGATGATGAAGAGGAGACACACTGGTGATGAAGAGGAGACACACTGATGATGAAGAGGAGACACACTGGTGATGAAGAGGAGACACACTGATGATGAAGAGGAGACACACACTGTGATGAGAGAGACACCTGATGAGAGAGGAGACACACTGATGATGAAGAGGAGACACACTGATGATGAAGAGGAGACACACTGATGATGAAGAGGAGACACACTGTGATGAAGAGGAGACACACTGGTGATGAAGAGGAGACACACACTGGTGATGAAGAGGAGACACACTGGTGATGGAGAGACACACTGATGATGAAGAGGAGACACACACTGGTGATGAAGAGGAGACACACTGATGATGAAGAGGAGACACACTGGTGATGAAGAGGAGACACACTGTGATGAGAGACACACTGTGATGAAGAGGAGACACACTGATGATGAAGAGGAGACACACTGGTGATGAAGAGGAGACACACTGGTGATGAAGAGGAGACACACTGGTGATGAAGAGGAGACACACTGGTGATGAAGAGGAGAGACACACTGGTGATGAAGAGGAGACACACTGGTGATGAAGAGGAGACACACACTGATGATGAAGAGGAGACACACTGGTGATGAAGAGGAGACACACTGATGATGAAGAGGAGACACACTGGTGATGAAGAGGAGACACACTGATGATGAAGAGGAGACACACTGGTGATGAAGAGGAGACACACTGATGATGAAGAGGAGACACACACTGGTGATGAAGAGGAGACACACTGATGATGAAGAGGAGACACACTGATGATGAAGAGGAGACACACTGATGATGAAGAGGAGACACACTGGTGATGAAGAGGAGACACACACTGGTGATGAAGAGGAGACACACACTGGTGATGAAGAGGAGACACACACTGGTGAGTGATGAAGAGGAGACACACACTGATGATGAAGAGGAGACACACTGGTGATGAAGAGGAGACACACTGATGATGAAGAGGAGACACACACTGGTGATGAAGAGGAGACACACTGGTGATGAAGAGGAGACACACTGATGATGAAGAGGAGACACACTGGTGATGAAGAGGAGACACACTGGTGATGAAGAGGAGACACACTGGTGATGAAGAGGAGACACACTGGTGATGAAGAGGAGACACACTGGTGATGAAGAGGAGACACACTGATGATGAAGAGGAGACACACTGATGATGAAGAGGAGACACACTGGTGATGAAGAGGAGACACACTGGTGATGAAGAGGAGACACACACTGGTGATGAAGAGGAGACACACTGATGATGAAGAGGAGACACACTGGTGATGAAGAGGAGACACACTGGTGATGAAGAGGAGACACACTGATGATGAAGAGGAGACACACTGGTGATGAAGAGGAGACACACTGATGATGAAGAGGAGACACACGTGTGAGAGGAGACACTGGTGATGAAGAGGAGACACACTGGTGATGAAGAGGAGACACACTGGTGATGAAGAGGAGACACACTGATGATGAAGAGGAGACACACTGGTGATAAAACAGAGGAAGACAGAAAATCAAAGCTATAAATACCTGGACATGACTCGACAAGTGCAGAGAGAGGCTCCACAGACACACATTCCACTGTCTCTCACCAGAGACCAGAGGGAGACCAGAGGGAGACCAGAGGGAGACCAGAGGGAGACCAGAGGGAGACCAGAGAGAGACTAGAGAGAGACCAGAGGGAGAGCAGGAGAGGGAGAGCAGAGAGAGAGCGGAGAGAGAGCAGAGAGAGACCAGAGGGAGACCAGAGGGAGACCAGAGGGAGACTAGAGAGAGACCAGAGGGAGAGCAGAGAGGGAGAGCAGAGAGAGAGCGGAGAGAGAGCAGAGAGAGACCAGAGGGAGACCAGAGAGAGACCAGAGAGAGACTAGAGAGAGACCAGAGGGAGAGCAGAGGGAGAGCAGAGAGAGAGCGAGAGAGAGCAGAGAGAGACCAGAGGGAGAGCAGAGAGGAGAGCAGAGAGAGAGCAGAGAGAGACCAGAGGGGAGACCAGAGAGAGACCAGAGAGAGACAAGAGAGAGACCAGAGAGAGACAAGTCAGAGATCAGAGAGAAAGACCAGAGGGAGAGACCAGAGAGAAAGACCAGAGGGAGAGACCAGAGAGAAAGAACGGAGAGAGAAAACAGAGAGGGAGAACAGAGAAAGAAAAAAGAGAAAGAGACCAGAGAGAGACCAAAGAGAGAGACTAGAGAGAGAGACCAGAGAGGGAGACTAGAGAGAGATCAGCGAGAGAGATCAGAGAGAGAGCGACCAGAGAGAAAGACGAGAGAGAGAGACCAGAGAGAGAGACAAGAGAGAGAGACCAGAGAGAGAGACTAGAGAGAGATCAGAGAGAGACCAGAGAGAGAGATACTATAGAGATCAGAGAGAGAGACCAGAGAGTTTGACCAGAGAGAGACCAGAGGGAGAGACTATATAGAGTCTGAAAACTAGCGATAGAAGTTTTTTAAGACTATATCCAATCAAGATCTATTTTGAAGTGACCAGTGAGCCGAGATCTCGACACAGGGAGAACATGCAAATTCTCAAATGACACTGTAATAATGGTTCCTATAGTAAATAATAGATTTTTCCAGAACTTTCCGATGTGAGAGTGTTTTCCAAAGTGACTGTTGCCTCCGTCGCCTGTGGAGCGAGGAGTGCATTCCCAGCTGGTCCTGCAGCTGATAAGACCAAAGCTGCTTCCCCCAAATCAAAAGCACATGTCTGAGGCCGAGAGGCACATCCATCTCTCCAGGCCTCCCCCGCCTCACCCGCCTCCCCCGCCTCACCCGCCTCACCCGCCTCACTCTGGCAACCACCACCTTCAACCAATCTGGAAGATAGAGACTAGAAAGAGATAAGAGAGAGACTGGAGACTGACTAGAGAGAGATTAGAGAGAGGGACAAGAGAGACCAGAGAGAGACACTAGAGAGAGAGATCAGAGAGAGAGACTAGAGAGAGAGACAATAGGGAGACAAGAGAGAGAGACCAGAGAGAGAGACCAGAGAGAGAGACTAGAGAGAGAGACAATAGGGAGACAAGAGAGAGAGACCAGAGAGAGAGACTAGAGAGAGAGACCAGAAAGAGAGACTAGAGAGAGAGATCAGAGAGAGAGAGACCAGAGAGAGAGACTAGAGAGAGACCAGAGAGAGAGACCAGAGAGAGAGACTAGAGAGAGAGATCAGAGAGAGAGAGACCAGAGAGAGAGACCAGAGAGAGAGACTAGAGAGAGAGACCAGAAAGAGAGACTAGAGAGAGAGATCAGAGAGAGAGAGACCAGAGAGAGAGACTAGAGAGAGACCAGAGAGAGAGACCAGAGAGAGAGGACTAGAGAGAGAGATCAGAGAGAGAGAGACTGGAGAGTGAGACCAGAGAGAGAGACCAAAGAGAGAGACTAGAGAGAGAGACGAGAGAGAGAGACCAGAGAGGGAGACTAGAGAGAGATCAGAGAGAGAGATCAGAGAGAGAGAGACCAGAGAGAAAGACGAGAGAGAGAGACCAGAGAGAGAGACAAGAGAGAGAGACCAGAGAGAGAGACTAGAGAGAGATCAGAGAGAGAGACCACAGAGAGACCACAGAGAGAGACTAGAAAGAGACCACAGAGAAAGACCAGAGAGAGAGACTAGAGAGAGAGACAAGAGAGAGAGACCAGAGAGAGAGACTAGAGAGAAAGACGAGAGAGAGAGACCAGAGAGAGAGAGCCCAGAGAGAGATCAGAGAGAGAGAGACCAGAAAGAAAGACGTGAGAGAGAGACCAGAGAGAGAGACAAGCGAGAGAGACCAGAGAGAGAGACTAGAGAGAGATCAGAGAGAGACCAGAGAGAGAGAGACTAGAGAGAGATCAGAGAGAGACCAAAGAGAGAGACTTGAGAGAGACCACAGAGAGAGACTAGAAAGAGACCACAGAGAGAGACCAGAGAGAGAGACTAGAGAGAGAGACCAGAGAGAGAGAGACCAGAGAGAGAGACTAGAGAGAAAGACCAGAGAGAAAGACCAGAGAGAGAGATCAGAGAGAGAGAGACCAGAGAGAAAGACGAGAGAGAGACCAGAGAGAGAGACAAGAGAGAGAGACCAGAGAGAGAGACTAGAGAGAGATCAGAGAGAGACCAAAGAGAGAGACTTGAGAGAGACCACAGAGAGAGACTAGAAAGAGACCACAGAGAGAGACCAGAGAGAGAGACCAGAGAGAGAGACTATGAGAAAGACGAGAGAGAGACCAGAGAGAGAGAGACCAGAGAGAGATCAGAGAGAGACCAGAGAGAGAGAGACTAGAGAGAGATCAGAGAGAGAGAGACCAAAGAGAGACCAGAGAGAGAGACCACAGAGAGAGACCAGAGTTGTTATTTGATTTGAAGGGACATAAGGACTTTAAATTTTTTTTAGGAAAGAACCGCTCCCTCCACTTTTAGAACAAAACTCTCTGGTCTGATTGGACGAGCCTGTATCACCAGAATGATTGACAATTAGGACAAACCAATAGTTTTGATGATCCACCCGGAAGTAGAACAACCTCCTAAAAACCTGTGACTATTCCTCTTTTGATTCCTTCTCCCACAGGTGGCCAGTACAGAGTTAAATAAAGTAGAATAACACTTCTTGGCTCTTCTTTGATCCTTCTGCAGAATGAATTATCGATGAGAAGAATGTGTTTTGGCTCGTGACAAAGTTCATAAGACGCATGTATCCAGACGTCATAAATCAAACCGTCCGTACGAGGCTTGGGACCGGCACAAACACGTCCTCTCAACAGCAGGTATCTCAGAGGACTCTACAATACTGTCGATTCTCCAACAACAGATCAGAGAATCAACAGTCATTGGTCCATAAAGAGAGGATGGCGAGTTTTTATATAAGCTAATACTAATATTGTCTGGTTTCCTAGGAACATAAAAGACTGAATAAACCAAAAAGTCTGACGTCTTTTGCCGAAACCTTTGAACTTCATGTTGCATATTTGCTCCGTGTGCTACGGGGTTAAAGCTGGGCAACTGGATTTTAACATGTTGTTTCTCCCAACAGAAAGAGTCTCGGAAAAAGTCAAATGTTAAGAATGAATCGGACGAGATTGTGCCGTTTTCAATAGAATATAATATGTGTGTGTGTGTGTGTGTGTGTGTGTGTGCGTGTGTGTGTGTGTGTGTGTGTGTTTGTGTGTGTGTGTGTGTGTGTGCTTGTGTGTGTGTGTGTGTATGTGTGTGTGTGTGTGTGCGTTTGCGCCTGAGTGTGTGTGTGTGTGCGTGTATGTGTGTGTGTGTGCGTGTGTGTGTGCGCGTGTGTATGTGTGTTTGTGTGTGTGTGTGTGTGTGCGTTTGCGCGTGAGTGTGTGCGTATGTGTGTGTAAAGGTATAAGTGTGTTTTTTATAAATATTTTATTGTTATGTATACATTTTTTATAACCTTTTTACCATATGACCATTTAAACTCTAAAAGAAAAAACTCAATAAATAACTGAAATCTTTTGCATTCAGGTTTATGCATTCGAAATCATTTGAGTCTTCCTGGAAATGTGAGACAGAAATATTCAAATGTAGGTTGAGCCGTGCACACGCCTGAAGGATTGTACCTTTGCTCTTTCTAAAGCACCACAGTGATCACAAAATGCCCTATGTCATTTTTTAGCTGTATTTTGACGACATAACTCGCCCAGCCCTGGATCATTTTACCCTTTTGACCCTAGTTTAGCGTGTTTTACTCCTACTTTGAAACCACTGTGCCGGGTCATTGTGGGCGGAGGACAGAACAAGGGTTAAATTAAATATATATAGGATGATTTTCCCAAATTTTAGGAAAAAAACCACCCTCTCCACTTTTAGATCCAAACTCTCTGGTCTTATTGGACGAGCACATATCACCAGAATGATTGACAGTAAGGAGGACCAATAGTCCTGATGATCCACCCGGAGTATACTCTACTCTTCTCTACTTTACCCTACTCTACTCTACTCTACTCTACTATACTCCACCCTACCCTACTGTACTCTACTCTAACCTAGTCTACCCTACCCTACCCTACCCTACCCTACCCTACTCTACTATACTCCACCCTACCCTACTGTACTCTACTCTACCCTAGTCTACCCTACCCTACTCTACTCTAATATACTATACTCTACCATATTATACTCTACCCTACCCTGCTATACTCTACCCTACTCTACTCTACTCTACTCTACTCTACTCTACACTACTCTACTCTACTCTACCCTACTCTACTCTTCCCTACACTGCTCTACTCTACCCTAATCTACTCTACTATACTATACTATACTCTACCATATTATACTCTACCCTACCCTACTCTACTCTACTATACTCCACCCTACCCTACTGTAGTGTACTCTACCCTAGTCTACTCTACTATACCCTACCCAACCCTACCCTACTCTCCTCTTCCCTACACTACTATACTCTACCCTACTCTACTCCATTTAACTATACCCTAAACTACTATACTCTACTCTACCCTGCCCTACTCTACTCTTTCCTACTCTACTAATAAGTGAAAAAAAATGTAGCACCAAAAAACTAGCATTAGCACTTCCCTATTGGGTTCCATTGAGCTAACGAGTTAGCATCGTCCATCTATACACAGTCTATGCCTGCACCCTGTTGCTTTATTGAAAAATCCAGCAACTTTCCATCATATTAAGACGCCCGACTTTCTTTTGTTCTGGTCAAAATGAAAGCCGCCAAAGAGCATTCTTGCTAGCGGCCGATCTGGCTGGATTTGGGGCCCTGTATCCAGCCTATTACATTCCAAATCCATCATCTGAGGACGTGCAGAGAACGCGGACTCTGGAAATAATAGCAGTCATTTCCTGCACGGAGTGGCACACACTGCTGTCTGTCTCTGTGGAGTCTGCAAGTCTGGCTTCATGTGCGACGCTAGCTGCTTCTCTGTCCGCAAATACTCGCCCCGAAAACAGGCGAGGCGAGTTTAGTCGTATAGCACAGTTCATATACGACAGGGCGACTCAAAGTGCAGAACAAAAGTAAAATAGAGAAAAATCACACAAGGCGTTAAAATCCTAAATAATCACGTTATTAAAAGAGAAACTGAACTGTTTTTGACCTGGATTTGAATATTGTCAGAGAAGAAGCCTGTCTCACATTTTCAGGAAGACTGTTCTAGATTTAGCAGCATAGGCTTGACTCTGGCACCAGCAGGAGGCCAGTCCCTGTGCTCCTCTGTGTCCCGGCAGGAGGCCAGTCCCTGTGCTCCTCTGTGTCCCGGCAGGAGGCCAGTCCCTGTGCTCCTCTGAGTCCCAGCAGGAGGCCAGTCCCTGTGCTCCTCTGTGTCCCAGCAGGAGGCCTCTAACATGTCTCAGATGTACAAACAGACCTCAGCTTCAGATAAAGATGAAACATGTTAGTCGTCCACACAGACCCTTCTCCCTTTGAGCTTTTCTTTTATCTTTTGCTTCAAGGCAAATACTGACAACAAAGGTATTCTGTGGAGGATCTGGAACTTAAAGCTGGGGTCCTTCACCCCCCCCCTCTCCTGTAGATAGATAGTTTTTTGCCTCAACAGAACGAGAGAGTGAATTGTATATAACTATATATAACATATTGGAATTATTAAAATATGCCAAAAAGTCATTTGTAGTATTTCACTGGATCCTGTGGCTCAGAGAACGGACTTTAAAGCAGTCTCTCCGTCTGTGACGTGTTAGTGACATATGAACCAACTCTGAGGAGCACAGGGACTGGCCTCCTGCTGCGACTCTGAGGAGCACAGGGACTGGCCTCCTGCTGGGACCCCGAGGAGCACAGGGACTGGCCTCCTGCTGGGACTCTGAGGAGCACAGGGACTGGCCTCCTGCTGGGACTCTGAGGAGCACAGGGACTGGCCTCCTGTAGTAAGGCAGGTACAGTTTTGTTCTAGTAAGGCAGGTTGGTACACGGGGCAACTCAAAGGGCTCAACCAAACTAAACTAAACCAAACCAAACTAAACCAAACCAAACCACACTTCAGGATAATCTCAGTCCTGGATGACATAATTAAGTGGTCGTGGGCCGGAGTGTACTTTAGTGACGCCTGAGGTGAAGAATGTGACCCCAGAGTCTCAAATTAGAAAAGGACCAGAATACTGCCGCCGCCGCAGCCGCAGCAGCTTCAGCTAATGAAGTTAGCAACGAGACCAGAGCCTGACACAACATTGATCTACGTCTGAAATAGAATCAGACAAAGTGGATAAGAGCGGTGTATGTGAGAGAGAGACTGCTGGACTCTGTTCTACTTTACTCTACTCTACTCTACTCTACTGTACTCTGTTACGTTCTACTCTACTCTACTCTACTCTGTTACGTTCTACTCTACTCTACTCTACTCTGTTACTTTCTACTCTACTCTACTCTACTCTACTCTATTCTACTCTACTCTATTCTACTCTACTCTACTCTACTCTGTTACTTTCTACTCTACTCTACTCTACTCTACTCTATTCTACTCTATTCTACTCTACTCTACTCTACTCTGTTACGTTCTACTCTACTCTACTCTACTCTACTCTGTTACGTTCTACTCTACTCTACTCTACTCTTTTACGTTCCACTGTACTCTACTATACTCTGTTCTACTGTACTCTACTCTATTCTACTCTCATCTATTCTGCTCTACTCTTCCGTACTCTATTCTACTGTTTTTTCTCTACTCTATGTCACTCTACTATATTCTACTCTACCTGGTTTGGCTTCCCACAACAAACCAGTATCCATGGAATTTCCTTGGCAACCATGGCTTCCAGCAGCACTCTGGCAGTTAGAACACTTCAGTACCAGCTCGGCCTGGATAGAAACCAGGACCATGAGGGACTAAAGAAGGACCTGGTACTGGTTACTCAGGACCAGTAGAAACTCTACCAATCAGGGGAGAGTAGAGTAGAGTAGCATAGGGTAGCATAGGGTAGGGTATAGTAGAGTAGAGTAGGGTAGAGTAGGGTAGCATAGGGTAGGGTAGAGTAGAGTAGGGTAGGGTAGGGTAGGGTAGGTTACACAGGACCAGAGGAAACTATACCAATCAGGGGTGAGAAAAGTAGAGTAGAGTAGAGTAGAGTAGCATAGGGTAGGTAGAGTAGAGTAGAATAGAGGAGAATAGAGTAGAGTAGAGTAGAATAAAGTAGAGTAGATAGAGTAGGGTAGGGGAGAGTAGAGTAGAGTAGAGTAGAGTAGAGTAGAGTAGAGTATATGTGGCGACCCTGCTCCCATCTCTGTCTGAAGTGAGATACAGATTCCCACCACACTTGTTAAACACTTTGCGTCTCTGTGAAAGGCGCTGTCTAAAGAAAGATTACTCTCTGATTGTTCTGTGTTTTGAAAGTCAGGTGCCCCAGCTTTAACAGTGACAGTGCAGCGGCCCGGTCTCTGATTACACAGGGCTTAAAGCGCTCTCCTCGTCTGTCAGCGCGGCTCGTTCAACAAACACACCATAAAAACCTCCTCTGATCCCAGCCCTGAGTCAATACTTCTGAACCAGGTTGTGTACTTTCCATTTAGTCTTTTCAAGCCATGACATCACAGAGCGGAGGACCTTTGTGGAGTAGAGTAGAGTACAGTCGGATAGAGTAAAGAATAGAGTAGGGTAGGCCAGGGTAAAGGAGAATATAGTAGGGTAGAGTAGAGTAGGGTAGAGGATAGAGTAGGGTAGGGTAGAGTATGGTAGGGTGGAGTAGAGTAGAGTAGAGTAAGTGGGGCAGAGTAGAGTAGAGTAGAGTAGAGTAGAGTAGAGTGGGGTAGAGTAGAGTAGAGTAGAGTAGAGTAGAGTAGAGTAGAGTGGGGTAGAGTAGAGTAGAGTGGGATAGAATAGAGTAGAGTAGAGTGGGGTAGAGTCGAGTAGAGTAGAGTGGGGTAGAGTAGAGTGGGATAGAGTAGAGTAGAGTAGAGTGGGGTAGAGTCGAGTAGAGTAGAGTAGAGTAGAGTAGAGTGGGGTAGAGTAGAGTAGAGTAGAGTGGGATAGAGTAGAGTAGAGTAGAGTGGGGTAGAGTCGAGTAGAGTAGAGTGGGGTAGAGTAGAGTAGAGTAGAGTGGGATAGAGTAGAGTAGAGTAGAGTGGGGTAGAGTCGAGTAGAGTCGAGTAGAGTAGAGTAGAGTAGAGTAGAGTAGAGTAGAGTAGAGTAGAGTAGAGTAGAGTAGAGTAGAGTGGGATAGAGTAGAGTAGAGTAGAGTGGGGTAGAGTCGAGTAGAGTAGAGTAGAGTAGAGTAGAGTAGAGTAGAGTAGAGTAGAGTAGAGTAGGGTAGGGTAGAGTGGGGTAGAGTGGGGTAGAGTACCTGCAGGTGAAAGCCAGAGTCTGTCTGACTTCTGAAGCTAAGTCGGGCAGGGTCTGAGTGGTGCTGTGATGGGAGACATCTGGGAACATAACATGCCAGACCTTTTATACTCTGTTGTTTACAAAATTGTTTAAAATTGTTTTACAAATTTTCTAAACTTATTTTCGCTCTCTCCTCCTCAGTCTTTCTGCTGTGATCTGAGAGAGAGACCCGGGGGGGGGGTCTCTCTGCTCGTGTACGCCTCTCGCTCTCTCCTCCTCAGTCTTTCTCGTGTGATCTGAGAGATCTCTGCTCGTGTATGCCTCTCGCTCTCTCCTCCTCAGTCTTTCTCGTGTGATCTGAGAGAGAGACCCGGGGGGGGGGGGGGGTCTCTCTGCTCGTGTACGGCTCTCGCTCTCTCCTCCTCAGTCTTTCTCGTGTGATCTGAGAGATCTCTGCTCGTGTATGCCTCTCGCTCTCTCCTCCTCAGTCTTTCTCGTGTGATCTGAGAGAGAGACCCGGGGGGGGGGGGGGGGGGGGGGGTCTCTCTGCTCGTGTGGCCGACAGCAGCAGCTGCGTCACATGACTGATGGTCCCCTCGCGCTCCTCTGCACTCAGCGTTCTGTCAGCACTCACCATGACGGGCTAATTTTACCCACGCCGCTCACGCCCTCGCCACGTCCAACGCCGTCCGCGTGAGAGCCCAGAAAACACCAGATTTTACTACTACTATGACTACAACTACTACAACTACTTCTACTACGACTGCTACTACTGCAAATACAACTACTTCTGATACTATTACCACTACTACTTATTCTTTGACTACTACAACGATTAATACTACTACTACAACTACTACTACTACGATTACTACTACTACTACAACGACTACTACTATAACTACAACTACTACTACGATTACTACTACTACTACTACTACTAATAACTACAACGATTACTACTATAGCTACAACTACTACTACGATTAATACTACTACTACAACGACTACTACTACAACGACTACTACTATAACTACTACTACGATTACTACTACTACTACTACTACTACTACTACTAATAACTACAATGACTACTACTATGACGACAACTACTGCTCCACAGTCTTCCTCTGCTCCCTGTCTCCTCCACAGCCTTCCTCTGCTCCCTGTCTCCTCCACAGCCTTCCTCTGCTCCCTGTCTCCTCCACAGTCTTCCTCTGCTCCCTGTCTCCTCCACAGCCTTCCTCTGTTCCCTGTCTCCTCCACAGCCTTCCTCTGCTCCCTGTCTCCTCCACAGCCTTCCTCTGCTCCCTGTCTCCCCCACAGCCTTCCTCTTCTCCCTGTCTCCTCCACAGTCTTCCTCTGCTCCCTGTCTCCTCCACAGCCTTCCTCTGCTCTCTGTCTCCTCCACAGCCTTCCTCTGTTCCCTGTCTCCTCCACAGTCTTCCTCTGCTCCCTGTCTTCTCCACAGCCTTCCTCTGGTCCCTGTCTCCTCCCAAGTCTTCCTCTATTCTCTGTCTCCTCCACAGTCTTCCTCTGCTCCCTGTCTTCTCCACAGTCTTCCTCTGCTCCCTGTCTCCTCCACAGCCTTCCTCTGCTCCCTGTCTCCTCCACAGTCTTCCTCTGCTCCCTGTCTCCTCCACAGTCTTCCTCTCCTCTCTGTCTCCTCCACAGCCTTCCTCTGCTCCCTGTCTCCTCCACAGTCTTCCTCTTCTCCCTGTCTCCTCCACAGCCTTCCTCTGCTCCCTGTCTCCTCCACAGTCTTCCTCTGCTCCCTGTCTCCTCCACAGTCTTCCTCTGCTCCCTGTCTCCTCCACAGCCTTCCTCTGCTCCCTGTCTCCTCCACAGTCTTCCTCTGCTCCCTGTCTCCTTCACAGCCTTCCTCTACTCTCGTCTCCTCCACAGCCTTCCTCTGCTCCCTGTCTCCTCCAAAGCCTTCCTCTGCTCCCTGTCTCCTCCACAGTCTTCCTCTACTCTTTGTCTCCTCCACAGCCTTCCTCTACTCTCTGTCTCCTCCACAGTCTTCCTCTGCTCCCTGTCTCCTCCACAGCCTTCCTCTACTCTCTGTCTCCTCCACAGTCTTCCTCTGCTCCCTGTCTCCTTCACAGCCTTCCTCTACTCTCGTCTCCTCCACAGCCTTCCTCTGCTCCCTGTCTCCTCCACAGCCTTCCTCTTCTCCCTGTCTCCTTCACAGCCTTCCTCTACTCTAGTCTCCTCCACAGTCTTCCTCTGCTCCCTGTCTCCTCCAGAGCCTTCCTCTGCTCCCTGTCTCCTCCACAGCCTTCCTCTGCTCCCTGTCTCCTCCACAGTCTTCCTCTGCTCCCTGTCTCCTCCACAGTCTTCCTCTACTCACTGTCTCCTTCATAGTCTTCCTCTGCTCCCTGTCTCCTCCACAGCCTTCCTCTGTACCCTGTCTCCTCCACAGTCTTCCTCTGTAACCTATCTCCTCCACAGTCTTCCTCTACTCTGTGTCTCCTCCACAGTCTTCCTCTGCTCCCTGTCTCCTCCACAGCCTTCCTCTGTACCCTGTCTCCTCCACAGTCTTCCTCTGCTCCCTGTCTCCTCCACAGCCTTCCTCTGTACCCTGTCTCCTCCACAGTCTTCCTCTGCTCCCTGTCTCCTCCACAGCCTTCCTCTGCTCCCTGTCTCCTCCACAGTCTTCCTCTACAGTCTTCCTCTGCTCCCTGTCTCCTTCACAGCCTTCCTCCGCTGTCTGTCTCCTCCACAGCCTTCCTCTGCTCCCTGGCTCCTCCACAGCCGTCCTCTGCTCCCTGTCTCCTCCACAGTCTTCCTCTACACTCTGTCTCCTCCACAGTCTTCCTCTACTCTCTGTCTCCTCCACAGCCTTCCTCTGCTCCCTGTCTCCTCCACAGTCTTCCTCTGCTCCCTGTCTCCTCCACAGCCTTCCTCTGCTCCCTGTCTCCTCCACAGTCTTCCTCTGCTCCCTGTCTCCTCCACAGCCTTCCTCTTCTCCCTGTCTCCTCCACAGCCTTCCTCTTCTCCCTGTCTCCTCCACAGCCTTCCTCTGCTCCCTGTCTCCTCCACAGTCTTCCTCTGCTCCCTGTCTCCTCCACAGCCTTCCTCTTCTCCCTGTCACCTCCACAGTCTTCCTCTGCTCCCTGTCTCCTCCACAGCCTTCCTCTGCTCCCTGTCTCCTCCACAGCCTTCTTCTTCTCCCTGTCTCCTCCACAGCCTTCCTCTGCTCTCTGTCTCCTCCACAGTCTTCCTCTGCTCCCTGTCTCCTCTGCAGCCTTGACGTTGAGTGTAAAAGTCGTCCAAGGTTTAGTTTCGACCCTGGAGTGAGCGGCAGAAAAGAAACTGGAGCCGTGTGGAAATTCCAGACAGAGCAGTATCAACGAGAAAAGCAGACTGATGCAGACTGATGCAGACTGATGCAGACTGATGCAGGCTGATGCAGGCTGATGCAGACTGATGCAGGCTGATGCAGACTGATGCAGACTGATGTAGACTGATGCAGACTGATGTAGACTGATGTAGACTGATGCAGACTGATGTAGACTGATGCAGACTGATGCAGACTGATGCAGACTGATGTATACTGATGTAGACTGATGCAGACTGATGTAGACTGATGCAGACTGATGCAGACTGATGTAGACTGATGCAGACTGATGCAGACTGATGCAGACTGATGCAGACTGATGCAGACTGATGTAGACTGATGTATACTGATGTAGACTGATGCAGACTGATGCAGACTGATGTAGACTGATGTAGACTGATGCAGACTGATGCAGACTGATGCAGACTGATGCAGACTGATTCAGACTGATGCAGACTGATGCAGACTGATGCAGACTGATACAGACTGATGCAGACTGATGCAGACTGATGTAGACTGATGCAGACTGATGTAGACTGATGTAGACTGATGTAGACTACATGTAGAATGATGTAGACTGATGTAGACTGATGCAGACTGATGCAGACTCATGTAGACTGATGCAGACTGATGTAGACTGATGCGGACTGATGCAGACTGATGTAGACTGATGCAGACTGATGCAGACTGATGTAGACTGATGCAGACTGATGCAGACTGATGCAGACTGATGCAGACTGATGTAGACTGATGCAGACTGATGCAGACTGATGCAGATTGATGCAGACTGATGTAGACTGATGCAGACTGATTCAGACTGATGCAGACTGATGCAGATTGATGCAGACTGATGTAGACTGATGCAGACTGATTCAGACTGATGCAGACTGATGCAGACTGATGTAGACTGATGTAGACTGATGCAGACTGATGCAGACTGATGCAGACTGATGCAGACTGATGCAGACTGATTCAGACTGATGCAGACTGATGCAGACTGATGCAGACTGAGACCCAGCAGGAGACCAGTCCTCAAGCTCCTGCTCTGGCTCTTGCTCATGCCTATAGCCACCACCAGTGCTTGACCCTGATGGATCTGAGATCCTCTCAGCAGCAGTGATCTCCCCTCTGCCGTGTCCCCGCCGGGGTCAATGGCCAAACAATAAATCCTTTAAATGCATTAACGTTTGTGTTGGTCTCTCCAGATTAATTGGTGCGAGGCCATAGAGATCTTTAGAGTCTTCTCTCTGAGCTGTAGGAGCCAGAGCAGAGTCCTGAGGCCAATCATCATAAAGCGTAAGTTTATTTAGAAAAATCATGTTCAGACTTTGGCGTCTTCATCTTTCCCTCTGAGAGTCCAGTTAGCAGCGCTCTCATTTACAAAACCTACCAAAGTTCTCGCAATTTTTCCTTACTGAAAAAGTATGAACAAAACATATGAGTTGTTCCGGTCTCTCTTTGGTCTCTCTCTGGTCTCTCTCTGGTCTCTCAGGTCTTTCTCACTAGTGTCTCTCTGGTCTCTCTCGGACTTTCCTCTCTCTGGTCTCTTTCTGGTCTCTCATTGGTCTCTCTATGGTCTCTCTCTGACCTCTCTTTCTCTGGTCTCTCTCTGGTCTCTCTCTCTGGTCTCTCTCTGGTCTCTCTCTGGTCTCTCTCTGGTCTCTCTCTGGTCTCTCTCTGGTCTCTCTCTGGTCTCTCTCTGGTCTCTCTCTCTGGTCTCTCTCTGGTCTCTCTCTGGTCTCTCTCTGGTCTCTGGTCTCTCTCTGGTCTCTCTCTGGTCTCTGGTCTCTCTCTGGTCCCTGGAGCTCACTTGTCATAAGTTGCATCCACACACGGTCCGTCAGATCCACGTCTCTGTGATTATGACTCAGTTAGAGAGTGTTTAGTGCTAACATCCAAACAAGCTAACACAGTCCACAAGATAAAGACCCAGACCCAGACCCAGACCCAGACCCAGACCCAGACCGAGCCTGAGCCTGAGCCTGAGCCTGAGCCTGAGCCTGAGCCTGAGCCTGAGCCAAGCAGTTGTTAAGCAGACGCACATATGGCATTGATTCATCTGGAAATTCTGCTTTCAATTTGAAGAGTTTGATGTTCAGATAGGCTTCGGTCGAGCTGAACCCTCTCCAAGACAAATGTGTCGCTGTCACTAAGACCGAGGAAAGAAAATTTGGTTAAAAAAACGTGTTTAATGCATTGGAGCCACTTCTGCACCAGGACTCTGTGGTGCAGAGATTGGCCTGGATCTGAATCCGGTTTGAAAAGTGTAATAACATTTGCTTCCATGAAGCCACAGTGGGCTGTTCACCGCAGCTTTATACACACATATTTCATGCTTTTCTCTCTCTCTTTCTCTCTCTCTCTCTCTCTCAGAAATCTCAGTCTCTGTAGTCCACACAGGTCACTAGCCTTTCTATATATACTATACTATACCACTGCTATACTACACTACAATTTACAATACTACTATAAATATACTTTACTACTACTATACTATATGATACTACTACTTAAGTATACTGTACTATACTTTACTACTCTCTCTCTCTCTCTGTCTCTCTCTCTTTCTCTCTCTCCTCTCTCTCTCCTCTCTCTCTCTCTCTCTCTCTCTCTCTCTCTCTCTCTCTCTGTCTCTCTCCAGCTTGGATCATTTTCAGAAAGGGGCCATTTTAAGGGGATGAAAAAAATGCCTGGAGCTAGAGTCATAATCCTGGTTTCATATCGGTTCAGGAGCAGACAGGGCCAAAGAGCTCCACTGCAAAACACACTCAAAACAAGACGGGTTTACATCGACAACGTTATGCACGGGGAGTTATTATCACCAAAAGTAATGATGCAGACAATAAAGAAAACTCTCTGGTTTCATTCTGGTCTCTCCCTGGTCCCTTTCACGGGTCTCTCTCTGGTGCTTGTCTCTCTCTGGTCTCTTTTTGGTCTCTCTTTGGTCTCTTTTTGGTCTCTCTTTGGTCTCTCTCTGATCTCTCTTTGGTCTCTCTTTGGTCTCTCTCTGATCTCTCTTTGGTCTCTCTCTGGTCTCTCTTTGGTCTCTCTCTGATCTCTCTTTAGTCTCTCTCTGGTCTCTCTCTAGTCTCTCTCTGGTCTCTTTCTGGTCTCTCTCTGGTCTCTCTCTGGCCCCTTTCCTGGGTCTCTCTCTGGTCTCTCTCTTGTCTCTCTCTGGTCTCTCTCTGGTCTCTCTCTGGCCCCTTTCCTGGGTCTCTCTCTGGTCTCTCTCTTGTCTCTCTCTGGTCTCTCTTTGGTCTCTCTGTGGTCTCGCTCTGGTCTCTCTGTGGTCTCGCTCTGGTCTCTCTCTGGTCTCTCTCTGGTCTCTCTTTGGTCTCTCTGTGGTCTCGCTCTGGTCTCTCTCTGGTCTCTCTCTGGTCTCTCTCTGGTCTCTCTCTGGTCTCTCTCTGGTCTCTCTCCGCTGTCTCTCTGGTGCTGGTGTTCAAATCCGATCATTAGGAGACTGATGAGGGCCACAGGTGCACACCCGCACATCCAAGGCAGAGGTTACACACACACACACACACACACACACACACACACACACACACACACACACACACATCCATCAACATAAGACAGAGAGTTACACACACAGCAACAAGAGTGGTCTAGGAGGACATTGCAGAAGAGAGGAAAAGCAAAAGAAAAGCACCACATATACAACCAACGCTTTATTGTTATTATTGGCCTCAACATGCTTCTTGCAGATAGTTGGGTGGAGGCGGGAGAAAGGAGATACGTTGACTGGTGTCGTTGACAGCTGGTGTGGAGGGGGAGGAGGATGCAGCTGCAGCAGCGATGGTTTCAGATGGGGGTCGGAAACCTGAGAGTCGCCCTGGAGTACCCGCATATGTCACCCGCAAAACACAAGAATGAAAATAAATAACAGCTCTTTCAAGTAAAGAGAAGCATTGAAGATCACCTGAAGGCCCACGACTAAAGACAAGGAAGAGAGAGGAGAGAGAGCAGAGAGAGAGACCAAAGAGAGAGACCAAAGAGAGAGAGCAGAGAGAGAGAGAAAGAGAGACCAACGAGACCAGAGAGAGAGCAGAGAGAGGGATTACAGAGAAACCAGCGAGAGACACCAGAGAGAGACCAATCAGAGACCAGAGATACCAGAGAGACAGACCAGAGCGGGACCAGAGCGGGACCAGAGAGGGACCAGAGAGAGCTACCAGAGAGTGACCAGATAGAGAGCAGAGAGAGACCAGAGAGAGACCAGAGAGAGACCAGAGAGAGACCAGAGAGAGACCAGAGAGAGACCAGAGAGAGACCAGAGAGAGAGCAGAGAGAGGGATTATAGACAGACCAGCGAGAGAGCAGTGAGAAAGCAGAGAGAGACCTAAGAGAGAGACCAGAGAGAGAACAGAGACACCAGCGAGAGATCAAAGAGAGAGAGAGAGACCATTAACAAAGCAGAGAGAGGGAACAGATTGATATACTGTGATCAGTAATTATTTGTGTGCGTGTGTGTGTGTGTGTGTGTGTGCGTGTGTGTGTGTGTGTGTGTGTGTGTGTGTGTGTGTGTGTGTGTGTGTGTGTGTGTCTGTGTATGCATGTACAGTATATATATGCAGTTATATGAGTCATATTGTTCCCCATGAGGCAGATTGGCTCAGAGTGAGTGGAAGTGGAGATAAGATGTAAGATGAACCTTTCAACATTTCGCCACATTTCAGGCTTCAAACATAAAGATACAAAAATTTTATTTTTTGTCATGAATCAACAACAAGTGGGACACAATCGTGAAGTGGAACAAAATTTATTGGATAATTTAAACTTTTTTAACAAATAAAAAACTGAAAAGTGGGGCGTGCAATATTATTCGGCCCCTTTACTTTCAGTGCAGCAAACTCAGTCCAGAAGTTCAGTGAGGATCTTTGAATGATCCAATGTTGTCCTAAATGACT